ATATTTATTTTATTTTTTGTATCACTTTATTTTATATATTACTACCAGCAAAAATTAAAACATTACCTCACACTTCTTCAAAAAATAGACGAAGGAAAATGAATAAAATTATTAGATTTTGGCTTAAACAATAGAATCTTTTTTATGTACATTTTTTTTGTATTTTTGGATAAACTAAATTATTTGCAAATATTTATTTCAATCTGATATAATGAGAACATGTTAAAAATCGGATTAAAAGTAGCACAACTTTGTCGAAATCTGCAATAATTTTTTATTGCAATTTTCTTTATGCCGTAACCGAAAAAATCGAACACAAATATAGCTTACAATTTCCGAAAGCATGAAACTTTAGTTTTAATTTAGTGGAAGACTTGTGTTCTTTGCATGGAAATTGGGAGTGAAGGATTGCTAACTTGACACGACGCGACACTTGGACATTCGACACGGATCTGAATTATTTGATGCAGCTACGTGGAACAATAATGTGTATATAAAGGGTGTTTTTTTAAGCCCGATAGAACTTGAAATTGTAAAAAATAAAACAAAAAATTAAATTTTAATAAAAAAATTTAAAAAAATTTTTTTTATTTCTTTCAGTATACACTGGCAAATCATTATGAATAGACTCACGCTTGAATCGGCTTTCGCCGATTGGGCTCTAGAGCAGTTGGCAACTGACCCGTTGTTTTATCGACAAATTGTGTTCAGCGATGAGGCTCATTTTTGGCTTAACGGGTTTGTTAATAAGCAAAATTGCCGTATATGGAATGAGAACAATCCACAAGAGATCCTACAGACTCCATTACATCCAGAAAAATGCACCGTTTGATGCGGTTTACACGCTGGTGGCATCATCGGACCTTATTTCTTCAAAAATGAGGCCGGAGCTCGCGTTACGGTCAATGGAGATCGTTACCGCACCATGATCAATGATTTTATTTGAAAATATGGATGACATTGATCCGGACGAGATGTGGTTTCAACAGGATGGCGCTACGTGCCACACGTCGACCGCAACCATCGACTTATTGAAATCAAAATTTGGCGATAAGTTGATTTCGAGAAATGGAACTGTCAATTGGCTTCCAAGGTCGTGCGATTTGATCCCTCTCGATTATTTCCTCTGGGGCTACGTCAAGTCACTGGTTTATGCTGATAAACCAGCAACAATTGACGCCTTGGAGGACAACATTGTTCGTGTTATTCGTGACATACGGCCGGCATTGCTCGAAAAAGTCACTCAAAATTGGCGTCCAGAATGCGCTTCGTTAAGAACAGCCGCGGTGGCCATATGCCCGAAATCATTTTCAATTATTAATGCCATACATTGATCTTTCGAATAAAAAAAAATTTTTGATTATAATTGCATTTTTGTGCTAGTTTTTACAGTTGTAAGTTCTATCGGGCTTAAAAAAACACCCTTTATAAATACGTTTCTTACTACATTTATAACATGTGCTTGAATTACATATTTTTGCTTGAAATATACGCAGTTGAGTCTTAGGCAATTAATACAAAGGTAGGCCCTTTTTTGCGGCTTCCCGTCGCGAAAAAACAGATAATTTTACTATTAAAAGTATCATTGAAAAACTCATTGAAAATGAATGGCGTTTTCAATAGTATTTTATAGCAAGCTGAATAAGTTTTTGCCAATGGTAATATTTTATCACTGAGGATTTTATCCTGGCTAGTAATCAATAGTTTTCAATACATAACATGTACATTAATTTTATAGTTTTATTACTAAAATGAGTATTATTATTGATTAATATCTTATTCCAGAATACACATCATAAAATTATGATAAAAAAAAGTTTTTCTCTAAATTTGGGAACTAGTTTTATAGTGCTTCGGAGCGGTCACCCATCCAATTGCATACTGCCATTCGTTATCCTTGACTTCTGAAATTGTATGGAAACCGCTGCACTTCGATGATCCACAAATCATCTACGAAGGGGGACCCATAAGTTCCGGGAATTACGCTGTGGTGGGGAGGGAGAGTGGGGGAACCTATTGTTTGACCACATGTCCGTTAGTGTCACGCCACCTGCGTCAGTGTGCGAAGTTGTGTCGCTGTGAGTGCATCGGTTCGCCTGTGAGATTTTTTTTATTAAAACAACTTTTTACATTTCGGCGAAAACGTAATGTCGAGAACGCGCCGGCCCACACCGCCCTTTCCGTGAAGCAATTTTTGACCAAAAACGCCATGACACCAATTGTCCACCCCCCATACTCACCGGATCTAGCCCCCTGTGACTTCTTTTTGTTCCCCAAATTCAAAAGGAATATGAAAGGAAAGCGTTTTGCCACTGTGGAGGAGGTGAAACAAAAATCGCTGGAAGGCTTAAAGGACATCCCGATGAGTGAATTTAAAAACTGTTTTGAACAATGGAAGAATCATTTGGAGAAGTGCGTTGTGGTCAATGGCGAATACTTTGAAGGTGATTAAAATTTGGTATTAAAATATTGAGAAATAAAGAAGTTATGACGAAATTCCCGTTTTTTTTGGGTCCCCCCTCGTATATAATCATAAATGTATGGCTCTGACATCTGTTCAATATATGGTCCTGATAGAAATTGGTCCAGTTTAACTGTCCAAGCTATTGTCTAATATTTAATTTTAATGTTATATATAACAATTTATTATTGGATGTAGTCCAATAGGAATATCATTTTGATTCATAATATATTAGTTACTATTGGATACGCATCAATAGAAACATCAATGATATTCCTATTGACAATAATCCAATGGCAAAATATTATACTACTAATCGAATGATATTCCTATTGATATGTATCCAATAATAACTAATATACCATTAGTCGAATGATATTTCTATTGGACTACATCCAATGATAAAATATTTTACTACTGACCAAATGATTTTCTTATTAAACGCTTTAAATAGTAAAATCATTCGATAATGATAATGCTGTTGAGTTCGTATAATGTTATCATTAGTTCAAATCATTTTACTATTGATTTGAATGATAATATCATTGACACTTTTCGCGACGGATTTAATTAATTCTCTCTGACAAATTGAGAAAATCCATGAAATAATACATATTTAATGATTTTTCTTGTATATAGAACAGAAAAGATTGGATATAGTCATATTTGTAATGGATTTTAGTTTGCTGCCATGTTTTCGAACTGCAGTATTTGTTGAAATACTCGTATTGTTAAACCTACTGCACTGATTCTAAGATCTCGCATCAGAGTGACAAGAAATCATTTAATGTCTTTAAGTCTGTATATTTTTACCCTTAATACTTAATTCTTATGGCTTGCTAGTGTCTACATCCACATTTGTAAATAAGCTGATCAAATCGTTCTATTATTCAGTGGGTTTCTTGAAGGTCTTAAGAGCAAATGTTTAAGAATGACGTTTAATAATAACTCATGAAGCGTGGTACGATTTTGTAGATAACAGATAATTCCAATAATTAAGACTTGGATATATACCATACGTGCACAAGTCATCTCTTAATTATCAAAACATTTTTCGACTATCGCCTATGTCTCATAATAATTATTAAAAAAGGGTAAAAAAAGTGCTAAGAGTGCGTATTCTTTGATTCTTCGGAAAAAAATGTGTACTAAATTGATTAATTCATATAACGTTTATAAGAAGACATTAAACACTGCAAAATGCATGAAATATTAATATATATTTACCTTTTTAAAAAAAGATGAAAGAGCGTTATGGATACGTGCTCTGCAAAAAAAATTTTATTAAATTAAAATATATAATGAAACCTAATACGTATTTATGTATCTATTAAAGTCTTATAAATAAAAATTCTATTTAATTTAAACGTATTAGGTATATAAAAGGTTTGATATCAATAATGGACGTTAAATTATAATCTTTAAAAATTGTAATACCTCGCTCAATCTAAATTATATATAAACCTTGAATACACAAAACTCTATTGTACAAAATTAAAAAATGAAATCAAAATTGTGTTATCTTTTCAACCCAAGGATTATCACAGAGAACTAAGGATGTAATAAAACAAAATTAAAAAATTTTAATTAAAAAATTTTCATGTAAAAACACTTAGTGCGTAACTAAGTTTCCGGGTTTCACACATGGATGGCGCTAACGACACATGTAGTCGACATACATGTCTGAAATTGTGTTTTTTTTATAGCTTGGACATCTGTTAACAATAACCAGTCGTAATACCAACACATATCGCAACGCAAAAATATTTTTTCTAACAACGAAGATGTCGAGTTTTGTGCCAAATAAACAGCATTTGCGGGAAGCTTTGCTTTTCTGTTTTAACTTGAAAAAAAAATGCAGCTGAAGCACGTCGTTTGCTTGAGGAGGCCTACGGCGAACATGCACCATCGAAAACTACTTGTGAAGATTGATTTAAACGCTTCAGAAGTGGCAATTTCGGCACTGTGGACAAGGAGCGCTCCGGAAGACCAAAAACAATTGAGGACGCGATCTGCAAACGTTATTGGATGAAGATAATACGCAAACACAAGATCAACTTGCGGAGGCATTAAACATGACTCGCCAAGGTATTTCCAAACGTTTACATGCCATGGGAAAAATTCAAAAGGAAAGAAAATAGGTGCCGCATGAGTTGACTGAAAGACAGATGGAAAATCGAAGAGCCACTTCCGAAATTTTGCTTTTGCGGCATGAAAGAAAGAATTTTCTGCATCGAATTGTTACTGGCGATGAGAAGTGGATATATTTCGAGAATCCCGAACGCAAAAAATCATGACTTTCACCTGGCGAAGCATCAACATCGACGGCACGGCCGAATCGCTTCGGAAAGAAGACAATGCTCTGCG